ATGGAAACTTCGTGTATTTTCTGACCAGGGGCAAGCAGCCTGCCTGTTTTACTTTTTACAGAAAAAGGAAACTCTAATGTACCACTAATTATTAGTTAATTAATTATGAGTGATTTTAAAGACTGTGATAGAAGTATTGTGCTTAATAATCATTATAAGACAGGAAAAGCACATGGTTTTTCATCAGTGGGACATCTTTTTCCAAAGTATATGATATTCAAAGTATTTCTTTCTAAATTTCCCCTGAATTAAACAAGATTGACAAAAGAAGTAATTTAAAAGACATTAAAAATTAAAATTTGTATAGACAACCCTGAGGAGCTATATCTGCCTGGATATAAATTTAAAATGATAGGAAGTGATCTGGTGGATGAGATTAAACATTTTTAATCTATGAAACTATTCCACTATCTGTCATATTGACCACAAGCAAGTTTAAAAGAAATCTGGCCTTTAGTCTGTACTGGCTGCAATCTAGAATATAATAGTTTACTGGAGATTATATATAATTGTTTTGACAAATAGTCTTTAAGCATTCTCCATTAATTTAACAGATACTGTAATGATTATCTGAACTACATTAAATTCTCACAAGGATGTTATATCCCATGAGGTGCTATGTATCAATATAGCTTAAAGTCTGTGTGGAAGAATGTGGAGTTGCACAAATACAAGTAATCTAAAAGGTGATGTATACAGGGGTGCGATTCAACTGGTGTTACTACCAGTTCGGTGACTACATTTTGCTGCATGTGCATGTAAAAAAAAGCTGTACTACCTGGACAGCTGAAAAGCGCTGCACACAGGTGTGCAGCATTTGAAAAGACTCTTTTTTCCTGCTTTTTCAACCTTAGCTGTGCCGCGCAAAACAGTTGAGGTTGACAAAGCAGGAAATAAAGGACAGGTAAGAGCCTGGGTGGGCGGGCGGGCGGGCCAAACAGCAGCAAACACAGAACCAGTTCAGTGTCTGCTGCTCTTCAGAGCTACCAGTTCTTTAGAACCGGGCAGAACTGGAAGCATCCCACCCCTGGATGTATCGGTTTTCAACATAGTTTGTTATGTATTTTTATTTTCTAAGATCAAATTGGTTCAAGGAATGAGCTAATTCAGTAGCATACAGCCTAATTTACTAAACTGTAGCTACCTTATTAGGATGTTGTTTTTATTTGTCTAATCTTTATTGCTTGCTCATGATTATACTATTATTAGCCACGAGTTTCCATAAAAATCTAATCTGTATTATTAGTTTCAAAGGAAAGACATAATCAGCATGAGTTGATAGTAGCAGTGAGGTGTATCTTGGTTCCCCACCCCACCCCCCGCTATAGTATTATTCAATTGAATGACCTCTAAATGTTTAGTTCATCGATTCAGAATTGCAATGGTAGGACTATCTAATCAATAACATTGTTTATTTCAGGTTCACATAAAGGAAGTCTATTAGATACAGGCCATTTAAAGTTTTTACAGTATTTTAAATTAATGGTCGCTTATGAGTGCTACTGCATAGCTTCACTGGCAATGATGAATACCTAGAAAAAACAAATACATGAGGATGAACAGATTGTTAAGCAGCAGTGGGAATTTGGACATTTGCTTGTAATTCAGGTATCAGAATTCTGTTTATATATTCTGCACACTGTACGCAAATGATTTTGTATTATTTTACTGTTATTTCTCTTAATATTGGAAATAGGTTCTCTGAGATATTAATAGTATATTGTCATGCTAAGATCCTAGTGTTCATGACAATGCAAACCAAGGAAAGACAGAAATGTTCACAAAGATTGTACAAGCTCTTTCTTAGCTTGGTAGTGACAATACTCCTATTTGTGCTGGGTTTTTTTGGTATTACCGACACAGATGGACCTGTCAGCCCCCCTGCATGTCTAAATATTCACTTTTATTTTGACACATGAGCAAGAGACAATAACTAAATGGTTATCTTCCCTCAGCCACCAGCTGTTCTCACTGGCAGCACAGGCAGTAGGAAGATTTGCATGAACTCCAGACCTGATTTTAATAGTGATATCTGGTGATTTTTCATTGAAAAATAATTACTCAGATTTCATGGCTATTGCCTATCACTTTTTATGAATTTTGTTTCATGTGTCAGAAATTACAATAGTGTAATTTTCTTCTGTTATTTTCAATTTAAAAAACAGATGGGTAAGAAATAAAATATGTAAGAATGAAAAAAAATAGATTAAATACATATGATGATATTACCTGCTAGTATGTCCAGATCCTGAATTTTGTAGACAAGAGATACTATTGACTCCCAATGGTTCTGCTGAATTCTTGATTTTAATAAAACTTCAAACTCTGTTTCTCTATACAATTCAATGTTTACTTTCTCTACTAAGGGAATGGGGAAAATAGTCAATCAACCTGTGTGAATAAGGAAGTGTTTGGAAAAACTCAGATGATTATCTGTGATTTTATTTGTATTAGTTTGTAGGCTACATGGTCAGACAGATACTAGCCATTCAACTAGATACCATGGTAGCAGACAAGGATCACAAGAGAACAGTGATAATAGATGTAGTGGTGCCAAGGAACAGCAAATCAGGAAGGAGTATGAGAAGCTACAGAAGTACCAGGGACTGAAGGAAGAACTAGAGTGGATATGGAAAAGTAAAAGCCAAAGTGATCCCAGTGGTGGTAGGAGCAATAGGGGCTGTGACTGCTGAGCTGGGAGAATAACTCAAAAAGATCCCAGAAACAACATCAAAGCTCCCTGTTTAGAAGAGTGGACAGGAACTCTTAGAAAACTCATGCATCTTGTAGTGGACCCAAGATTGAAAAAGACACATACCACCCAGAGGGTGGGAAGGGTTTATATATACTTGTTAATTGCCTTTTTCTTGTGCATCTTAATTAAATTTAAGATGTCCATTTGTTGGCTTGAAAGAAATTAATTTTGAAGAAGTCAATAGGCTGTCAGGCTTCAATGAACAATTCGGATTTTAAAGATGACAAACTGGTAAGGAAGCTTCTTCTTCAATAAAGATCCTATATAAATTGCATTAGTTACTGTTTAAGCTGCTCAGAAGCAGAAATTCAGAGAGTTGACATTGAAAAGTGACAGTTGGGTTCAAGTATGATATGAAGTGTAGCTTCCTACTTCCCCAATTAAAATGGAGGGAGAGACCATCAGTAGCAAAACTGTTTGCGGACTATAGTATTTCAATATTGTACTTTACTTACCAAAGTCCCATCAACTCTTCTATGTCAAAAGAAAATATGCTTTTTCTTTGAGATGCTAATTTTCTATGTATAATGATTAATTTGACAGGAAGACTAAATGACAATCTCCAAAGAAAAGGTATATTACTTATTTGCTATGATAGAGAGAATCTTTTCTTACCATAGAAAAGGATATAAGAAAATAAATTTAATGCTATAAAATTATGATGTACAAAGTTGCATCATATTGAAAGTATGTCATTTCTCACAATCACAGTTACTATAGCTGTCAATGTCTATTATTGCAATCATATTCTTATATATTGAATTATAATCCCACTAAATTGTATAGCAAGGCATAAAAACTATTTTTGGGGGGATTTCATATGTTGTGAGAAAATCTAAGATAAGAAAAAATAACTGTCATCTTATATCAAAGAAGTAACATTGCATATGTATACTGTTTAATATACTTAAATATTTGGTGTGTGTGTGTGTGTGTGTGTGTGTGTGTGTGTGTGAATGAAATGGCAGGTAACATCCAAAGTAAAAAAAAGATATATGGACTACAATGTGAAGTCAAGAATGTGCTAGGAAAAAATGTGTTCAGTATTTATGTAGCAAAGTGTTCAACATAAGCAGCAATAAAATGTTGATGTAGAACTGAGCAAAATATAAGTTCACATCATTGAGTTATGGAAACTCAATAGTAGCTTTAGGTTTGTTACTGTCTTTCAGCCCAAATAATCTCATTGTATAGTTATCTTTTGAGGAAAAGGAGGAAAGAGTGCTAAACATGTCACTTTGAGCTTCTGGAGGCAAGACAGGAAATAATAACATACTTTAAAATATATGTCACAGTGATGATTTCTACCTCAAATATAAAGACTAGTTTACAAGAAGCTCCTTCTGGTCATACCTGGATTTTGATACTGCATTAAGCCACAGTATTGTTTTGTTGGTTTTGGTTTACCTATTATGCTTTGTGAAACATGGTTTGTACCTTAACTTTATCCAGATTTCTGTGGCATGGTTAAAACAAATGAAGGCCTACTAAAATAGATGGGTTAACCATTACCTTCACAGGATGCAAATGTAGGCACACATTCAATCCCAGCATCCCCAAGTAAAATAATAATTTCACATGGGCAAATAGGTAGCTTTCTACAGTATATAACAATGATTGATATAAAAAGCACCACAATATCCCTATTAGCTGACAGCATAAATATCCCTGTAAACCTAATGAGTTTGCTGCAACAAAGTTGTACTATACCAGTGTTGTTTGATTTTACCATAATGATACGACAATAGGCATCCAAAGGAAACAAACTGTTATAGAAGGGCTGCATATTAATGTATGTGTTATGCAGTTGTGTATTGATATGATCACTACAACTCACAATCTTTGTAGGAAACATTTTTAAAAAACAGGGCAATTGACTTAATTAAGAAAAGGCTTAATTAAATCTTTCTACTTTATTATAAACTTAATCCCACCTTAGGTACAAAGCCAAGTGAGTCACCTTGGGCTAGTCAGTTTCTCTTGGCCCTAGGAATGAAGCAATAGCAAACCACTTCTGAAAAAAAAATGCCAAGAAAACCAGAGGGTATTTATTACTAAGGTAGTCTCCAAGAATCAGATGGAACTGAATGGAAGAAAAAATGTAGAAAACACACTATATTTTTTTAACTAGCAATTAATCAGTCACATTATAAAAGCATAACACAGCATCTCTGACTATTCCTAGTAGCCTCTTTAGAAAGTTATGAGCTATCTTTACACATAGACACCTTCTCTTTTCCCTTACCAGCAGCTAAAGTTTGTCCCATTCCTGGCTTACTGTCGACACATCCAATTCGATTGCAGAGAGTAATGGTAAAAAAGTACATTCTGTATGGCTTCAGTCCAGTCATTACAAAGGATTGCTCATGGGCTTCAGCAACATACAAAGGCTGCAAAATAAAGAGACTCAAGATGTCTAGTCTGGGAGTGCTTCTCTTACTTTATATGAGTACGATAGCATATTTAACAATAAGTAATTGGTTGGCCAGGGTTTGCCAAGCACCATTAGCAGAACTAGCAATATTTTGAAAAAAAGTTCAACATGCTATAGAATTAAATTATAATATGTTCATCACGATACTTTATGAGGTAATAATCCAGTTCCTGAGTAGACAAATGAGGGGGAAAAATTATTGCCTCATAAAGCTGTAGAAGAGAGGAATTATTTGTGCAAACTGTACAGATTATGCAAGAGAGTGGTATCACTATTATGTGATGAAATCTAACCAACTTGCAGTGGAATCAGAGAAAGCTAGGAAATATTTTAAAATGAGGACATGCTGCCTTTTAAATAGGAAAAGTTATCATTATTATATATTACAACCAATAGGCACAGCACCAGAAATGTATTTTCTTCCTTAAAATATCTTAAATGAAAAGCATTAAAATGGAAAAATGGAAAGGAAAGGAAATATTGAATAAAAAAGTTTATTCAATTAGACTGAAAAAACTTTTTTTACCACCTATTCAAAAAGGTGAGTTTGGATCATCAATATTGTTAAGTGCATATCATTTAGGCTGAAAGTGTAACAAATCATTGGGAATAATGTGCATATATTGGATCCAGTCTTCCCTTAGGTATTTTTTTCCAGAAGATTCCTTAATAAAATTCTTGCACCTTTACCATTAACATATGAAGGCCCTTTGAGAATAATTCCATATTCTATGTCAATGGAGCTTCTTTGTATGAAAAGTCCTGGGAGAATCATTAATTAGAATAAGAATGAACATTTTAATTGCTCAAACCCAAAAAGAATACTTTACCAGCATTATTTCAGGGAAATGTTAGATTGTTAAGCAATTTTATTTTTTGCTGTGAAATGAATGCTTTTCAAATTTCATAACAGCTATGAATTAAAAAATTGCATAATGCAGAAAATAATAATAATAATATTGAGAAGACAACTGCAAACAGCAAATGTCGCCTCTGCAAACAAGGAACCTGCTGTAAGAAGATAGAATAGATTGGCTACAAACAACAGCATAACAAACTAGCAACAATGGTGCATTGGAAGATCTACAATAAATACCATTTGTCTGCAAGCAAGAACTGGTGGGACCATAAAATAGAGAAATTCATAGAAAATGAAGCTAAATTGCTCTGAGATTTCATAATTCAAACAGACAGGCACCTGCTAAATAACAGCCCAGACTTAGTAGCTATCAATAAGAAAGAAAGAAAAAATAGTGGACATAGTAATACCTACAAACAGAAGATTAGAAGAGAAGGAACTGGAGAAAAATGCAAAGACCTGCATATTTGAATAAAACAACTGTGTCAAAAGAAAGCAGAGGTAATGCCAATGGTAATAGACACCTTGGATGCAATCCCAAAACAACTGGAACAATACTTAAATGTCATCAGCATTGATAAAATCACCATCAGTCAATTACAAAAGGCAGCATTACTTGGAACAACTTACATCCTGTGACAATACATTTAATACCAACAAACACCAACCATTAGCCTATTCCAGGTCCTTGTGAAGAACTTAATAAGTTGATTAAAACTGCCAGACCCATTCTAAACATCTGGCTAATTATGCAAATAATAATAA